GCAGGTACACTCCCCCCATGGCCCTGCTGATGGAGGCCTCCCTGGTCCTCGGCCCCTGTCCCTACTCCCTCTCGGGTTTTCTTGGCCATGGTTCCCCCAGAAGCATAAGCTCATGAGCAGCATGCCCTGATCCAGCAGCCGTGCAGGGCCCCAGCACTCTCCCAGAGGCCACTAGCCCAGGTGGAGGACTCTCCTGCAAGCTGCTCCTGTCCCAGGCCCCATTCCCTGAGTGAGTAGTCCAGAAAACTCTTTTTGGAGGTAGAGTGGGGGTTCCCAAGGAGCAACTTCCCTTCTGGTGGGAGAGTCCTGGAAGCCACCTTGGGCTGCCCAGAAAGTGGCCCAACCTCCTGTGGGAGAGGTCTCACCCACCTCTGCCCTGCCAGCTCTCATTGCCATTATCTCTGACGGTGAGGAAAGCAGAGGTGACCATGTCCCCAGCCAGGGAAGTCACCCGACAACTGTCCTGTGGCCTCAGGTTTTTGAGAAGCAGTAGGTGTCGCAGGCCGTTCTCGAAATATACCACCTCCGCATTCTCCGAGGTGTGCATGGGCTCATCATCCAACAGCCAGGTGTGGGCAGCCACCTCAGGCCAGGACAGCTGGCACTCAAACAAGGCCTCCCCGCCCTCAGGTACATCCACATTCTCCAGGTCCCGGCCCACGGTGTTCTTGGCTGTAGGGAGAGCAAGGCTCAGAAACTGCTGACCTCACTGTCCCTTGGGAGAGCCAGCAGTTTCAGGAGGGTGGCACCCAGGCCTGTAGTGTTCCCTCCACACCCTGCCCACCCTTTGGACCCCTCACATCAACAGTTGTCTCCTGACCACAGGAAACTCACAGGTATTCACAGACCGCAGACTCACACCACCCAGCCAGCTCAGTCACAGGCATGGACAACCCTGTCCTCGTGTCCCAATAGCACTCCTGGCCCTGCTACTGCTCAGGTACATTTCCCCCATAGCCCTGCTGATGGAGGCCTCCCTGGCCCTCGGCCCCTGTCCCCCCATCCCTATCAGGTTCTCTTAGCCATGGTTCCTCCCAGAAGCACAAGCTCAGCAGCAGCATGCCCTGATCCGGCAGCAGTGCAATGCCCAGAGTAGGTTGCCTGCCACCTCCCAGGCCTGTTCCCGCTATGTAGGTCCCCTGCAGTGCGGAGCTGGCTGTTGCTGCCTGCCACCCCACCATTGCTGCATGGTCAGAGCCACGCCAAAGCCGTGCTGGACCTGGGATGCTCGCCAGGTGGCCTCACCTTGCACTTGTAGCAGTGCCACCACGCGAGTTCCTGTGGCCTCACAA